CCCCCCCCCCCCCCCTTCCTTTTGACATTTACTTAAAGTTGGGCTAAGGAAGCAAAGCAAGGTTCACATAGCATTTGAAAAATAGAGATCCATTCCCCAGCTTCTTAAACCACAAGTACATCCGAGCCTCCTCTTTTCTAAGAGTGGGGATTATATATACGAGGGTCACTTTAAAATTCGTTTTTCAGTTCATGTCAACTTCACGATGACAAGTACAACATAAAACCACATTTATACCCCACAACCCCCCTCCTGTGTGACGCGTCAGAACAACGACAAAGGAAAATAGGTTCAGAGAGTTACATCTAACGATCAGTAAACAGCTTGACGGGTCAACATGTGCGCACATGCTGACCATTCACAGGCAAAGGGATTCTTGGAAATTATGGAAGTCTGCTGCGGCTTCAAAAAGGTGGTAGCAAGTACCTACATAGATGCAAAAGTTGCAAAATCATTAAAACGACATGACCAAGGAACAATTATTTATACATCACAAAGGAACAATTATTTATACATCACATTAAGATGAATCGTGCACCTTTCCGGTTCGCGCGATTTCCTTGATTCCGAACTTCACCATCGCATGTTCAAAAGCCACCAGCTTTCCAGGATCCCCAGTCACCTGTCAACAAAATCATGGTCCAGGATCAATGAGACAGATATGCATTCTGAGACTATCGAAAACCAAGAGAACAACGTGGATGAGCCTCAAAAGAATCCTCTAATGATTTGTAATGAATTAAAAATGAACTTTTTGCCTGCTATGTGACAGACCTTAGTCATCTGCCACAACTTGTCAGAAAAGAACGCTGGCAGACGGCAAGCAGCTGAGCTGATGATTCACAAAGTATAGTGTACACATCTATGAACGAAAAGAGCGCACTTCGCGAAACAAACGGTAGGGAAAAAAAAAAAAAAAAACATGAGAGCGCACTTTGCAAAACAAATGGTGTAAAAATTTACTTAAAAAATAATAATAATAATACAAGACGAACATGAGGCGCACACTGAAACGATTCATTATTCTCATTCTTCTTTTAACTCCGCCTTCACCGTGCCTCTCACGTACAAGGCTCGCCATGTTGATGAAGTTCAGCGAGAGCTGCCCGCATCCCCGCGTGCCATAATGGCCATGAAGTATATATGTACGCATATGCAGAATTAGAGACATATTATAATATACATACAGATACAGCTATATTCATGTGTAATGAACCCAATCGCCATGTTGATGAAGTTGAGCGAGAGCTGCCCACATCCCCGCGTGCCAACGGCCACGAAGTATATATGTACGCATATGCAGTATTAGAGACAGATTACAATATACATACAGATACATGTGAGGCATAGGGCCCCGATGAGCCCCTTTTTACCCCTGTAAGCAGCACAGTCGGTCGCCCTAAGTGAAGGCAGGCCCGACCGAGGCCAAGAGGCCTATTTTTTTCGGCTACCACGCAACTGGGGAAATTCAGGCAGTTGCGCAGCGCCAGTTGGTTGAGAGCGCCCAGGCCCTGGCTGCCTTTTTCGTCCGTAACTGAGGCAGGTCCTGGGCCAGATACACAACAAGGGTCGAACACAGGCTGCAGGCAGTTGGGCACAGGCAATCGTCACAGGCCCTGGGCCTGATTCGTTTGGGCCGGGCCTCAGCCTCTCGGGGCCTACGTGAAGCTTCTGGGCAGGGGCCCAGCGCAGCCAGGCCACACGCAGCAGGCAGGCCACTTCCATTTAGGAAAGTGCCTGCCCTCTCATTTGGCATGGCTGCATGCGGCGCAAGCGCTGCTGCGCTATACGCTGGCCAGAGCCCACACGCTCACGGGCGAGCTGGGTGAGCAGGCAGCCATAGCAGAGCTGCGCTGCACTATGCTGGATGGGGCGCATGGTGGTCCTTGGGTGCACGTGGCATCTGTGAGTGGGGAATCGAGGTTGTGAGTGATGCGAGAGACATACCTGGTGCTTGAGGCGAACAGCATTGGCCAAGATCTGCTCTTACTACGGGGAGCTGTTGACGTCACCAGCGGCATTATAGATAGGCTAGATAGGATCTGCCATTTGTAGTCTGGGCGCAGAGCGCCAGATAGGAAGTCGACATTGGTTCTTTGTTGATGATGATGAGACTATTCCAACATTGTCACATATGAGCTTTTGCTGTGCTCTTATTTGGTGAAACTCGTGTTGCAATTCTGCTTTTGGTTCGAGGTCACGACTATCTGGTTACATGTGTATGATGCTGCTTGGTTTCTGGATTTCGATATCGCTCATTTTCCTTGCATGCTATATGTATGTGTAATGAACCCAATCAGATGAGAAGCTCAAACATGTCGTGATCAAGTCTTATACAGCGCAATACTGCTGTCTGCAAAAATCGATTATAAGTCCATGTCAAAGTACATGAAATCTCTCATCATCCCGGTTACCCAGAGAAGAGAATGAGAAGCGGGGGAGAACAGACAGATAGGAGGAGGAGAAGGAGAGACCCACGTGAATCGATAGTTCCCTCCTCTTGCCCACTTCCTCCTCGGGCATCTCCCACTAACGCCAAATAAGCAAATCAGTGCTCCTCTGCCAATTTCTGTCGTGTACTTGCACAGGTCACATCAATGCGCCCATCCTCAGTCGATGTCAGCAACAGCTAACGAGGATGGAGCAGGTCCTCTTGAAGACGAGCAGCAGATCACCTTCCACATAACAGGTAAGTCCAGGTAAGCCTCTCCTCATCACACACATCAACTCCACAGTCCAGATCCTTCTCCTCCTCCTCGCCTCCTCTCCTATCAATGTCAGCTCCTCACGGCTATGGTCACATCAGCATAATCTCCCTCCTGGCTGGCGCCCAGACTCAGACACTGGAGTCAGCATAATGCTCTCGCAGCCTTGCGCCATCGAACCAGCATCGAGCCTGTGCAAGGCGGAATGATCTCCAGCAGGGGCTGGGTCAACTTTATAATGT